GTTGCTGACCGAACATCATTGAAAGCTAGTGCTTTGGTCATCGTACCTCGTCCGGGATCGTCATATTGCTGGTTTAAGGAAATGTCAAATTGTAATTGCAACGGTATACACTTGCTTCAAGTTGACCGCAGTGAGCAAGTCAACTGGGCATGATAGAGATCTCACAAAGGCAGAAACGACGTCCCTTTAAACTGCAAAACCCCGCATGTCTAGGATCTCCACGTTCATAGAGGGCCCACTCTCTGGGCTGTGTCACTATGCACTTTCAATAGCCGTCCATCCGGATAGTAGCACGGTGCATGCATTGTGACGAGGGATCATGTACCATTACCCCAGTTTCCCCACTCAAACAGGGGTGGCATGCGGATTCTAACTTCTGCTGGAATGCATGATGGGCCCCTGTCCAAGGCATTCAAACAAAGGCGCGACTACAAAGTTGCGGATCCGCAGAAGGGTGGTTGTTGTACCGACGATATACAGGGGTAGGTGTGGAGATGATGATTGGTCCAAAGAGCCAGGATAAAGCTGTTTCCCGGGACTGGGGTACAGGCCAGAAGCGGACGGGGGGAGTGCTGCAGTGGTCGTATGTTGGTAAACTGGGTGCGGAGAAGCATCACATCTAGTAAGGAGAAATGCTCGGTTGCGTGTGCAGGCCCACTGTCAGATGTAAGCTGTGCGGAGCCGGAGCTGGGTGGTGAAGATGGCGCGTTCAAGTTTCCAATTCCAGCGTATCACGTCCTAGATGAGGAGACAATGTACACGTCCTTAACTAGCAGCGAGTGACACGTGCGAAGCAGTCGAGACGAGGCGCGGACCAACAATGATCTACACAAACTCAAGTTGCTGGGGATTGTGGGGAGTTGATTCGGAGGAAGCAGTATCGTAGCTGACTGCATCGCGCCGCTTGGAGCTCCCTGGAGCTCCCCCGTCCTACCCGGATGACGGCTCTTGGCTCCCATTCGCCTGCGATAAGTTCTGTTGGGCGCACGTTGGTCTGCGGGGGTCATGCCACGCTGACGTTCTTTTGGATGGACTTCTCTCTCTCTCGTGGAAGAATGCGGATGTGGGGTTCAGGACTTCCTGTCCCCCATGCTGAGGGGAGTGTAGCTTGGCGTGAACACTAGTGCCGGAGAGTGCGGGGTTAGCCCCGCCCTGGTGTACGGGGAAGTGATAGACCAGCACCTCTCACCACAAGTGGTGGTATGTGTCGGCTTTTGAATTTCTACTGAGCTGCAGACTATCCGACGTTGTCTTGTGCGGCTGGCCACGATCCAACTCCAGAGCCTGGCCATTATCCATCGACTCGCAAAAGCGAGTATCGCCAGAGCTTTGGCTGTGCTGCTCAAGTCTGCATAATATTGGCTGCGGGAATGCGGAGATCAGCAGGCTTCTCGGCGCATCAAGGATTGCATGTTAACTGTGAATCTCGTATGAGGTTGATCGATCGAGAAGACACCTAGCAGTGCTACAAAGATCGTGTTATACCCATCGCCAATCCAGCCCAGACATGTAGCCTCGTCGTGTTCTCTGCAGCTCGAGTAACTCTGCGTCATCTTCTCTTGGGCACACTCAAGTGTCGGAGGTCTCCGCCTCAACTCCAGTAAACAGCATTGTTGCAAGTCTCTTATGTTGAGGTTCGAGGTTGAGACAGCTCAGCAGGGAAAGTAACTTTCCGCTGAGCGGTCAATTCCCTGTACAATGTATGTAGTCGCAAGCCCTGGCTTAGTCGTAGTCCCAAGGCCACTCGCTCGGCGGGGGTGCGAATTGTGGATCCGAACGGCCCTATTCTAAAGTTTAGCAGCCTCCAAAGGTTTCTGGTCTAGCCCAGTAAGTCGCATGGCACCGAGACTGTGTACGGAATAGAGTGATTTCAGTTGTGTTGAACCATGTGTACATAAGCCGGTATCTAAAGTTCATTGGCCGTCATGCGCCCGTATGAGGATCCAGTCAGCTCACAAGAAACTTTCCAATAATCTCCAGAACGCCCACAAGTCTAATAATACACGATTTCCTTATATCAAAACACCTCCCAACACAATAGGGTTATCAATCCTTTAATGACATCTAAAGTCCACTAACGCCGAGGATGCATTTAGAAAGGAGCGTAGGTTGACCGACAAGGGGAATGCCCAGCGTGAAACAAGAGGGACAAGGAAGATGAAATCCTAGATGACCTCGTGTCTTTCCCAGCCAGTTGGCTTTTGGTGCGCAAGGTCCTTTGTTGGGTGTGGCTCTTCCGGATTCCGATACTCGCTAACGTAGGGATTGGGATCCTCCTTCTGGTCGAGGTTACCAAAGGTGTGGTTGACTTCTCGATGCTTGCTTTCATCTGCGCGGACTGGGGTGATGTTAGCGTGCTTTGTAATACATGTTGATAAAAGCATACGTACTGTAGAGAAGCAGATCACGCATTGTGCGGTGGCCCTCTGGCATCTGCCAGTAATCAACCGCAATCTCGGGTGCTTCCATCTTTTCCCATTTGGGAAGACGACCTTCGTCAAGATCTTTAATCTGACGTGTGTATGTGATGACTGCCTCCTCCTCAAGGTATCCAATGAAGCGGTGGACAGTGCGAGGGCTTAGGAGGTAGGCGAAGAACAGGGCGTTGCAGAATACACCTTGTGCTCCAAGCACCATGAGGCGCATAAAGGGTCCAGGGCGTTGCATCTTCAAGAACACAAGCAGGTGCATACGCTCGTTGTAACTCTCTTCAAGAAGTGACTCAATCCTAGAAAATGTGCATTAGTGAATATGCAATGCCCATTGCGCAATAAGACGTACCATCCGTTGTCTCGCTTCATTCTCCGCATGGAATGCAGGTGTCGTAACATACCGGCTACCATACCAGGGACGCCTGCAACGCTTTCCAAGAAGACATTCCGAATCAAGTACTTTTCTTCCGTCATGGCGAATTGGTTTCGTGCTGCCACTGGGTCTTTGGCATCTACATCGATGGGCTTTGGGTGCTTATATCCCGTCACCCTATCAAGACCCCAGCGTAGCACCTTGACGGCGATCAGAGCAACTTTATCGGACATGGTCTTGGCTTCACGGTGAGCGACGATGACTTGGTTCATCTGCTCTTCTGTGTATACTGGGAGTTGTCAGCTGCTGATGAGTCAGACAAGCTCAATGTACGTACCTGGATGTGGCCATGCTGCCTGCGTCTTGCGAACCTTCTCTGTTGGATGCTTCTCAAAAAACTCCTTGATCTTGGCTTCACCGCTGGGCGAAGATGAAAAGTTTCGTCTAGCGTTGGGAGTCTTGAAGTGCTGAGTCACGATAAAGGTGGGTCGAAGTCCGGCATTGTAGCTCTGGAAGGACTTGATAAGGTGAGCGGTGCCCCGTTTTGAGGCTGCTGATCCGTATATTGCTGCTCTAGTGGACATCATATATGGCGAAGAGTGTGTATATCAAACGAGGTGAGTGGAGTGCTGAGGATATCGTCCAGGTGTAGTGGCGAACACTGCTGTGTTGTATGAGAGACAACTGAGGCACTCATCAGTCCTTTAATAGTCATTGATACAAACAAAAATGAGACGCCGATAACCAAAAAAAACTCTTCGATCAGTACTCGTGCTTTCCGTAGACAGCCACCGATGACGCCTAGTCACCAAGGGTGAAACAGGAACGGCCATGGGACGCCGTAGCAACATTACGGCATCTCCATTCTACGGCAGCGCCTACGAGCAAATAGGCATTGTCTAAGATGCCGAGACAGTAAGCAGACCTGTCGAGAACAGAAGCATAGGTCGCGTGCAGAGACGAGTTCGAAGCGGCTGAGCAATTCAATACTCAGCTAACGAGAAGAAACCGGAACCAGGCAGCCAAGCCTCCGACTTCCGATTGCAGACAATGATCAAATACCCCTGCAAAACCGATACTTGGAATTGCGGACCTCTTGTATTTAATACTGCTAGTATCGCAATAATATAGAGAGTCGAAAATCCAGTTTTTTTTAGATGTTTTCAAGTCCAAGTTGACCGTGTTGGCCGCATCGAATGCTTGGCAACTCATCCCGGGAGATGTTCGTCGGGCTTTCGGGGACTTGCTATGCACCAACAAAAGACCCACCAAACCCTGAAAAACCGGCAACAACGATGACTGCATCCATTCACTGATGAACCAAACGCCACCTGATTGCGACTTCAAAGCCAGTGAAAGGCCGCACGCCCTTGCACATTCAAAACGCTTGCTACCACGACACTGTATGTCAAAGACTACTAAAGCAACAATAACCATAACAAACTAGCACAACCAGGTGCATCCCAGTTAAACAAGTGGAAATTTAATAGACAAGCAAAACGAAGACTATCTATAAGACACTAATACAAGTTCTAGAAGGCTTGGAAGAGCGAGTGTATGCTTCTACGCCGAGTACACGGGATAATGCATGTTGCAGCTCATCCACACTGTGGCGCAATGCCGGACCTTCTATTTTAGGTTAAAAATACGCGAACCCGTAGCTTCGCGATCGGATGTAGATGCGTGCTACTTACAAAGCACACAGAGAGATAGCCACGTTGTCTGCAACAAGCCCACGTAGGGAAACATATGACATCAGATGAGGCAGACAGGACCGGTCACATGGATGTTGTGAGTTGATGGCGACATTACGATATCCATTTACGTGTCTTGATACAAAGAGGATCGCATCCCGGACCTCACAACTGGTGTCAAGTCTGCTGCTCCGTATTTGCACTGCATATATGTTATCATCCGCCAAACCCATCTGGACAAACTGTAAACAGCTTACCTCATAGCCGGCGTTGAAGCCATTCTCATCGCGGAGCGACAAGGTACTAGGAGAGACGGTGTTTATTCGGATCTCCGGATACTCCTTGGCAGCGCTCCCGCAACAACTCAAGCACGGCATGTTTGCTGGTAGGGTAGCTAGGTAAAGTGGCCCAACCAACGACTACGTTGGCCACTCGCAGCCGTGACCTACAAGGGGAGCAATGCTACTTTGAGCACTTTTTCTATTATTCGTTGCTCTTTATCTAGAGCTCATCCCAATTTTGTGATAGATCGGGAAAGTTCAAAGTGTTGCCAAAGTGCTGCTGACCCATGAGAGACTCTTGTCCCCATGTGCTCCAGTCATTAACAAAAGCGTTACTATGGTGCTCGTGCAGTTCCCCTGGGTTTACCACTGGAAGTGGTGATTGGAAGTTACAAGAAGAGCTACTCGGAAGATCTTGGACAGTTCCACAATAGCTACTTCCTATGCCGTCCTCAACACTCGCCATTGGCGATGTTGACTCCACGACCAGGTTTTCGATGTCGTTCCGTTCCAGTTCGTTTTCGTTGCTGGGTTGGGAAGCAGAAAGCGTTCCATACTGCTCAATGGTCTTTCTGAGCTTGACAACATCTTTCTGGTACTGACAGTACGACCCCTCTAGAACAATACGCCGGTACAATCTCTGTGTTTGGCGAGTAACTTGCAACTACAAATTTCCCAAATTAAGTTAGCTTTTGCCACCTATAAAGCCATCAAGAATTCGCTTATTTTGGATCTTTCAGACTTACCCAGGTTGTGCCCAAAGGCCATATCTGAGCGAAGTCGTGGAGATATTGTAGATCTTGGTCCACTAGCTTCTCAGCGTCTAACCGTGTACTTGACCTTGGGTCGGCCCATGGAAATGCGGCAAGGAAAACATGCATGCTTGCTGCAGAGAATACACTATACCCTACGATAGGCGTATGTAATAATATGCCCGCAGCCTTCAGATCCTCTATGAGGTTAGTTATTTGTGTGGCTGCATCGAACAGTATGGTCGTGTATTCGCTCCACCAACCCGCAGGAGCCACTTGCGTTAAAAGCGGCGGTTCGACAGGGCCTTGAACTTCTGAAAGATATGAAGGGATGAATGGTAGGTATTCTCGATAGAGAATTAACACACTGGATGGTAAAAATTCATTAGTAGGAAAGCCTGGCAATGAGAAGTGTGATCTTAACGTGCCTGAGATAGTGGATCAGATTCAAATATACGAACCGCTCTGCTTCTCTTCTGTGAACGTATAGAGATACTGCCGTTTGCGGATATTGCAGTCGTTCATGTAACATTTTTCGCCACTCGATGACCTCAGTCTTGATTTTATGCCATGGTGATTCTGCCTGCCATGGACACGATCCAAGTGCAGACGCTTGGCGGCGCCCTCCATTGGTTACCCACTCGCACTCATGAGCGAAAATATCCATGCTTCGTATTGTCACCGTATAATAATCGCCTATCTTGAAAGTCTTATCAGGGCGACCGAGATTCCGCTCTACGAGCTGTGAGTACATAAGGGGCTCCGAGGTTGGTATTCCCAGATCAAAATCATCTTCGGTCGCGGGTAGATATATAGACACTTCCTTCGTATGAAGAGTAGCCGGACGGTCTTTGCCACAGCTCATCGTACGATCCATAATGAAGCAAGCCCAGATGGAGCGTCGCTGGATCTCACGTTGGGAGACTGTCTCTCGGCTTTGATCGCTCTGCGAGGCACTTTCTTCAGACAGCAGTGATGTTTCTGATCTTGCTTGCAAACCTTGCAACATGCGAGTTGCCATACCTGGAATACATCCAATCGAGGACTAGTGAGCCAATGCATCAAGAGATATTTCGCCAAGCGGGGATACTGACCAGTGTACATCCATGTCGCAAAGCCATTGCCCTCGCCCCATTCATACTGCGCGATGAGAAGCAGACAATGGATCGCGTCCACGTCTGGTTGATTTAAAATCTGTGGCCATATATTCCGCTGAACGAATGTGGCATACTGTTGGCTTGCTGCACGTGGACTCTGGCCCTGCAGTGGCGATGATTCAATCAGCCGAACGCACAGAGCAAAGATAGCAGCAAGCTTGATAACCAGAATACGCTTTGGTGATGTCCGCAGCTGTTGCATGAAATCGGCCAAGTGTACGAAGCTCAACTCAGGGAACTTTCTCGTAAAGGCATCAGCAACATCGGTAATCATCTGGTCAGCAACACAACGAAATAGTGGTTCGTCTTTGTATGAATATGCGGAATAGTCTCTCCGTTGAGCATGGCTTGCTCTCGCAACCTCAGAAGCACTGTTCTCGACAGTGTTGAGACTCGTACGGTTCGCATTAGCTCTGAGTATCTGTCGGCGAGGACTCCTGGACTTGGGTGGGGGCTGCTCAAGGACACACTGATCGCGGGTGCGCCCTGCTCGTACACAAAGCTTACATGGCTTATCACCATCATGCTGCGAGCATTTAACTTTGGACTTCCTGTTTGCAAGATGTTATCGATGCTTCCAGTCATTGCTCAGCAAGGAAAATAGCTACCGGCACCATCGACATGCGAGCGTGGATCGCATCGTTGATGTCAGGTATAGCTTTCACACGCGGTTAAAAAAAGCAATACAATCGATCGATTCATTCATTCGCCAGTCCTATTGTTTTCCAGGACAGGACTGTAGAATAATCGCATAAAGCTCACTATGAGTGAGAGGAGAGCGGCGGACGTTAGTCGTATGTGGTGTGTCCATGTCATGTTATATGCCGTTATCGCCGACGTGCTTACTGTCCGTGCTCACCCAATGCAACAATCAGCCAATGCAACACTATCTGCCCCACCTAAAATATCAACCC